AAATTAAAAAAAATTTTAAAATATAAATTAAAAAAAATTAAATTTATGAAATAAAACTAAAACTCTTAAAAACTCTACCAAACAGGTTCTAACCCTTTTGAGATTAGATTAATCATTCCAGATAATTATAAACAATTAAAGTTGTGTTTTAGTTTAGGCCATTAATTCCAGCGGCGGCCACCCGCCGCTTCGCTGGCACTGACGCCTCTTACTTATCGTTAACCTCGCCCCCGACTCTTCGTGACTTCCAAAGGGCAAAAGGTCACTTTTGCCACGTCATCCACTCACGGCTTTCCAGTGCCTAGTGCCTACCCCCTGGACCGCATCATTCGACTGTAGATGCGGATTTCCTGCATACTATTCCATAGTCAACAGTCAACTTCCTTCGCCGCGTATACTCCAATTTTAATTTTTATAATATTATGTAATATAATAATTTTAATATTTTAATAAAAAATAATTATTTTTTATTATGCAACCAACATAAAAAAAAACTAAGTTTAAATAAATATAGCAAAGTTTAGGAAGAAAAATGCAATATAACAAAATTTAAATAAATAAATATAATATTATAAATAAATTCTTAAAAAATCCATTTATAGATTGTAATTTGTAAGCTTCGAATAGTAAATTGTAACTACTTTCATTTCTCGAGAGAAAAGGTATAGTTGAAAACCGCAAACGAAGGGAACAGGTTCCGGTCGGTCAGCACATGCGTTATCGTGTTTGTGAAACCTACTCTGTCATCTCCCTCTTCTCCCACCTGCACACACGAAATAGCAAAAGCCCAGATCGAGATTCTTGTCGGAAACTCTGGAAATCGATCCGCCAGCGGAGGCGGAGGGAGAGAAATGGCGAGTACCAGTTTGGAGAGTTTGGATCAGCTTCCGGTTACCGTGCTCTGTTCCATCATGGCGAAGCTCGACATTTCCGCAATTCGCTCCTTGGCTGCCACATGCAAGACCCTCAACTTCTGTGCTTCTCTTACCCTCTCGTTCCTCCCCAATTTCCACCTCCTTGTGAGTATATTCCTGTTTTCCCCCATGTTAAATTTCGTAGCTTTTGCTGTTTTCCTATTGATTTGATCTTTGAATTGTAGTGAAAGTCCCAGATCTCGATACCTTGATGTGTAATTATTTGGTTAATCCTATAGATGATAACCTACTTTTTCCTGTTTGGATAACTTTTAGTTGATCTTAGTTTATACATTTCATGTTCTTCTAATTTTGAATCTCATTGATGTTTCTTGTTAATTGTGAAGGGAAATTTTATTTAATGATATCCAATTTTCAAACTTCCCACATTTTGTTATTGCTTTAGTATTAAATGTTATGGAAATTTCTCTATAGGTGATGCCTTTAAGAGACTAATTTCTGTTTTTTCTTTCCTGGGTTTTTGTTGTTACAAATAAAGTTTGAACCTTTGGAATCTAGATTGCTTCTTCTTTTTTTTTGTGTTTTAATTTTTTGGGTTATGGTTTAAATTAGTGAAATTAATTTTAAAAGTGATTTATGCCATTCTGATTTCTTGCAGGATATTTCACCACCCATGGAATTGATTAGGCCTTTATTGCCACCAAATCCTTACCTTAGGAGCCTAAAGCTTGATTGCAGTCAGCTTAATGATTCAGCCACTGAGCTATTATTACGACCTTCTTTGCACAACCTATGCTTACACAATTGTGCAGATTTCAGTGGAAAGCTGCTTTCTGAAATTGGTGGACGGTGCAAGGAGCTAAGGTATTTTCTTTAGATTTCTCTTGCTTGGTGTATATAAAGGCATCCATGCCATGTTTTAGTTATCTTATTGCAAGGAAAGATTGATTATAGATATTATGATGTTGATCTTTAACTATTTTATTGCTACAAGGGATATTGTTATTAGCTCCATATGTTAATTTCCATTCAGGTCTCTTTACTTGGGTTCAGTGGCTGAGAAAAGGGGTCGGGCAGTTCATATTTCTGATCTGGAAGAATTACTCAGTGGCTGCAATTGTTTAGAAGTAAGGCTCATTTATTAAAATAATGAAGGAAACTAAAGTATGAAAAGGTAACAAAAGAGAAGAAAACATTGACTAAAATTGTTTAACCTAAATGGAATTGCTTAATCTCAGAGTCACCTGGTAGCTTGGCCTGTGGGCTAGCCCCAAATATTTTGGTTTGGTATTTTTCAAGGAGAAAATAGGCCAGGAAAAAAAAAAAAGAAAAAAAAAAGGAGTTGCTACATTAAAACATGTATTGCTATGATTTCTGTAGTTAGTTTTTGTTTGAGATGCATCTATGATGTAGAACAGGAAGCAAAGGTGAGGATAGAACTTAGAAATAGAGGCAACGGTGGGAAGAGAATAGCAGAATTAGGGATTTCTAGAAGATAATTTCAATTCATAAACACTTCAACTGAATAACCCTAATACAACCTACACTTAAATATAAAAGCTAAAAACCCAAATTAGACTTATTTTCTAATTATATTCCCAATTGAATCTTTATTGAAAAATAATAACAAATCCTAATAAATATAAGTTATTAGTAATATTTCCATTTAATTCCTATATATTCATAATCATAATAAAATCTTAATAAATATATTATTTCCTTCCTTATCTGCATCATTCTCCCCCACTTGGTGAAAATTTGACCTTGAGTCTTGTAGTGTTGAAGCCATAGAAATTTTGAGGTAACAAAATAATACAACTGTAGTGCTTTGGTAACTTGACTTCGATCTTCAAACCAAACAAAATGGACTTCAAAGTAGATTTCAAAGTAGGATGCTTATCATCACATTATTTAGAAAAAATGAACTCAACAAGTTGAACAGTTTGCAAGACAGGGGAATTCAAAATTTTCTTCCACAATTTCCACTAAGTCATTTGGCTCTAATTCTAGAAGTTTCTTAAATACCATTTTGTCAAGATCTTCTTTGTTTTCCACCAAGTCATTTAACTCTGAATGTTGAAGCTCTTCAAGTAACTCATTCAGTTCGAATTCTTGTTCAAAACCCAACAAGAGAGAAGTCAAGTAACCCACCAAATTGTTTCCTCGAACTTTTACCGTATGGTGTTCTGTCACTAAATCACTGTCATCTTCCTTGGGTATGGGAATACCATAGCAAAAGGTTGACTTCAGAATTTCTTCATCAGTAACATAATTATCTGCTACATCCTTTGTTAAATAAGGTTTAAGCTTAGTAGCACAATTTGCAAGCACTTTTTTTGATAATTTTTGAGCAACAGACAAAGGAACCATATCATCTTTTTCCACATAACAGAGCAATAGAGATAGTAGTTCCATAGGAATATCTTCACTTTCTTGTAAAACAAGAGTCATAATACCTTTCATATGGTCAAATACAACTTGTAGGTGGTAGTCCCAGATTGATAATGGAAAATGTTGAAACATTTCAATAATTAGTGTATCACACTCAAGATGCAACATCAACACACAAGATTGAACCCTTGTTATAATACTCAGAATTATTTTTCTATTATAATATGAATTGTAGCAATTGTCAAACAAATGCTGAAATGATTAAACAATAAATTTAAATACCTCCTTCATTTTGTTATCATCATATCGAGCATCTGGAGCAGTAATTCTCATCATCTCACTAATACAAGCTGCAACAGCAACTCTAACATGGACATCTGAATGATGAAAAAGGTGTTCAGAAATCGAAGCCTATTTTGATGAATATAGTGCCTTTTCTAAGTACGAACATGGCTTTTGTTCCACTTTTGAAAGGAAATTCTTTAATTGTACCAAGATAGAGAGAAGATTATCAATTGAAGAAGGAGGGTTCTTCAGGGAATACCCAACTTCCTTCAACTGTTCTATCAGCAACAACTCTTTAAAAGAAGAGACCATGATTTCACTCCATCAAACTAGAAAATCAATTTCAAGCAATTGACCTATCAAAAACAACTGGTAGTTCCAAGCAGAATTTGGCAAAACAGACCTCAAAAATGGATTCAGCACCTCGAAATTGGGTGGAATTGTCAGTTTACATGTGATGATGTTGCAATGAACTCAAGAGGATTGGCTGAGAGGTGGTGCTGACTTGTGCTAATATGGCATCTTTGTTGGAAGATACTGATCTGGAGCAAATCCAAACAAAATGGGTCAGGAGTGATGGCTTCCTTTTGGTTATTCAAACTATAACTTCTTTTGACTTTCTCTCTTAGATTGTGAAACGGAAGTGATGTTTTTTTTCCTTTTTTTTTGGTTGTTGGTATGGATTTGAAAGGTGATATCTTGGATCTGAAGGCATACCAATTAATGTATGTAGAACAGAAAGCGAAGGTGGGGATAGAACTTAAAAACAAAGGCAATGGTGGGAAGACAATAGCAAAATTAGGGATTTTTAAAAGATAATTTCAATTTATAAATACTTCAACTAAATAGTCCTAATACAATGTACACTTAAATATAAAAGCTAAAAACTCAAATTAGACTTACTTTCTAATTAAACTCCCAATTGAATCTTTATTGAAAGATAATAACAATCCTAATAAATATAAGCTACTAGTAATATTTCCATTTAATTCCTATACATTCATAATCATAATAAAATCTTAATAAATATATTATTTCCTTCCTTATTTGCATCATTCTCTCCCACTCGGTGAAAACTTGACCCTGAGTTTTGTAGTGTTGAAGCCATACAAATTTTGAGGTAACAAAATAATTCAACTACAGTGCTTCTGGTAACTTGACTTCGATCTTCAAACCAAACAAAATGGACTTCAAAGTAGATTTCAAAGTAGGATGTTTATCATCACATTCTTCAGAAAAAATGAACTCAACAGGTTGAACAGTTTGCAAGATAGAGAGGAATTCAAAAGTTTCTTCCACAGTTTCCACTAAGTCATTTGGCTCTAATTCTGGAAGTTTTTTGAATACCATTTTCTCAAAATCTCTGTTTTCCACCAAGTCATTTACCTCTGAATGTTGAAGGTCTTCAAGTAACTCATTTGGCTTGAATTCTTGTTCAGAACTCAACAAGAGAGAAGTTAAGTAACTCACCAAATTGTTTCCTTGAGCTTTTACTGTATAGTGTTCTGTCACTAAATCACTATCATCGTCCTTGGGTATGGGAATACCATAACAAAAGGTTGACTTTGGAATTTCTTTATCAATAACATAATTATCAGCTGCACCTTTTGTCAAATAAGGCTTAAACTTAGTAGCACAATTTGCAAACACTCTTTTCGACAATTTTTGAGCAACAGGCAGAGGAACCATATCAACTTTTTCCACAGAAGAAAGCAATAGTTATGGTAGTTCCTTAGGAATATATCTTCACTTTCTTGTAAAACAAGAGTCATAACACTTTCCATATAGTTGAAGACAACCTGTGGATGGTGATCCCAGATTGATAATAGAAAATGTTGGAACATTTCAATAATTAGTGCATCACACTCAAGATGCAACATTAACACACAAGATTGAACCCTTGCCATAATACTCAGAATTATTTTTCTATTATAATATGAGTTACAATTGTTAAACAAATGCTGAAATGATGAAACAATAAATTTAAATACCTCCTTTGTTTTGTCATCATCATATGGAGCATTTGGAGTATTAATTCTTATCATCTCACTAATGCAAGCTGCAATAGCAACTCTAACATGGGCATCTAAATAATGAAAAAGGTGTTTTGAAACCGAAGCCTGTTTTGATGGATATAGTACCTTTTCTAAGTATGGACATGGCTTTTGTTCCACTTTTGAAAGGAAATTCCTTAATTGTCCAAGATAGAGAGAAGATCATCAATTGAAGGAGGGTTCTTGAGGAAATACCTAACTCCCTTCGACTGTTCTTGAACAACTTGTTAAAAGAAG